CAATGGTAACAAAGTTCGACCAGTCATCTTGTTCATAAAACACTACCAGGAAATCAAAACACCATGGGTATTATGGATTCCAATATCAAGTTTGGTTTCATGTGCCAGCAGGAGGCAGGTGACTCATAGATCGAGGTAGAGATAAAACATAAGCTTGTTCAGCTGCATGCTTTATGACTGTCCTATCATGTTTATTCCTTTGACTCTTTTCTTTTTTACGATACAACAGCTAGCATTTTTATATCTGTCCTGCAGCTAATACTCTTTCCGACTCACCACTCCGCTGATTTATACAGACTTTAAAATAGTAGGTGTAAAACCTCCTAATGACCCCAGTGTATCAGAGCTGCACTCACCCGTTTTAATCCTCTTACCTCAGAGAGCAAATTAGATAATTGCTAGGTGTTTACATTGGCCTATCGTGACCTTTGACATTATAAGCAGCTCTGAATATTAGTTCTACAACAAATACAAGCTTTAGATAATGCACTTAATTTTCAGATTCAGCTTCTTATTCTCCATGTATACACTATGTACACAAGTTTCAATGTGCTGGCAACACAATACAAAGACAATTATTGCTGGCACACACCTTTCTCTACATACAGTTGGAATTGGAAGCCTGCAGAGTAAGGGCTGCACTGTTAGCTGTCAAAGGAGCACAGATACACTGCTTGGAAAAGATAGCAGAGCAGCAGGAATGAACGAACCACTGATAGCAAGAGGACAAGAACTACTTTCTTCTCTGGCAGTTGAAGGGAATTTTAGCTGCAGATCACCAAATGAATCATATGACCAGGAGTGTTAATTCAAAGACATTTGATTGGAATTACAATTAACTATCAGTGAAGTGTGTCTGATGCAGCTGAGATATTCATCCGTGGATAACAGAGCAGGGAGAACTGTGTAAAAAGGCGATTCAAATTATTTCATAGCTTTTACAGCTTCATTCCAAACCCCTGAGGCGTATATCGCTGCAATTCGAAACAACAGTTTGTATGCTGGTTTTGCCTGTTGGGATATGTGTGCTGATGACATCGACTCCAACAGGAAGCCAGGGGCTAATGATTAGCACATGTTTAAGATCACTAGGGTGCCACAATCTGGAGATCGTCATGCCGTATGTCTCTGATTTATTTGGTTGTTGTTCCTTCACTAGGAGGGACAAGCACATTTCTGAAGTGAAAGAAACAAAGTCCTCTCCCCTCTAAAACATCTTTGCCTATTTAATCTGATTTAGTTTTCAACCAATGGAGATCTTCAGCTCGGTCACGGTCCATTCTGGAGCTTCAGAGTTTTAAATGGGAGAGGCACAGATGCTCCGAATGTGACCCTGCTTCACACTTGCACACAGGCCGGTCTATTATGTTGCTTTCACACCCAGCACAGATTTCTGATAGTACAGCCTCTCATAGATAAGCTGCAGACATTGCATATTATAGTCTGCGGCCTGGTCTGATTCCAGTGGAAGAATCAGTGAGCTTGTCTTTTTTTCTGAAGGCAATTTTTGTCCATGTTTATGGACTGTGTAAACATGCAATCTAGTATCAGTGTCACTGTGTGTGAACAGTTTGACATGGCCTTGCTAAGTGTGCAATCTTTTAACGCAGGTCTGTGTCTGGAGGGCTCCTCTCCTGCGTGGTCTGTGGGATGTTATCTGATAGTCACTAAGTGGTGAAACACAAACACCAAGAGCGACAGAGGGGGACGGTTCAGCCCTGAGGAACAGGCACAAGGAAAAAGACCTACACACATCCTGGAGAGTCAAATGCATCAAGAGGAATGTCCTTGTCTATGGTTGCAAAGGGAACTTAGTGATGTGTTTGATACTGTATTTTGATTTCGGGCAGTTGTAAGCTGCAACAAATACATGATGTTCGGTAAACAGCTGTACATTCCAACGTTTTCCAGCTGTGATGATTCAGAGATGTCCAGTGAGATATTTTACGGACAAGCGTTTTCAGCTATTCCTGATGACATTTGACCAGACTGACCTCAGAGCTTTAGTGGTTCCTCTTGTTTTGGCAGTGGCTTCCAAAGGTGAAGGAGCACTGAGGCGTTTCACCATTCCTTCATATTCCCACAAGTAAAATTGACTGTCCAGCTGTCCCACTAAGACGTCCTCCAAGCAGCCAAGACAGGGTTGTGTCCAAATCTAATCCCTAATTGTCTCACCCTTCCCTCAGCCCTGTGTTTGCTATTGGAGCTGGAGAAGTCTAAAAGTGTAATTTGGCCCCTCCTGCAGCCCGGGCTATATATCAGGGCTGGGCTAAAATTGAGGCGGACTCAGTCTCTCACAAAACAGCGGATGATTCCAGTAATACACCTCAACTGTAATACAAGTCTTGACTTGACTTTTGATATGAGCACTGGAGGGGCTGGGCTGCTGTGGTTTTGAATAAACAAACGTACACCTGAGATAATTTCCAGTGAAAGCAAAAAGAAAACGAAAGTTAATACTTTACTCACCTTGAATCGCGGCCCTCCACACAGAAATACAATCCAGAAATATTGGAGTTTTTATAGATTCACATATAAGGAAACAGCCATATCAAGCCTCCAACAAAACAACATATTATCATTGCAAGAATAGAGGATCAAACTAGAGTCAACAACATTGTGGATCCCTTCTCTCCTTGGGGTTGTTGTACTTTAAGTAAAAAAAGATTTTCTTCTAATTTACACAACCCAATGTTTCATAGCATTTCAATTTGTATTTTTACTCAACAACAGTTAAATCACTATGTGGTTTTGTTTTGGGGCAGGTGTTTAGCTTGAGGTTCTTCTTGAAAGCAGTGCAGCTCTTCCTCACTAACCTGTGATGCCTTTTTGGGAAATTTAAAATACTCAAGTTTAAAATTACTAACTTTTTACTTTCTAAATAGTTACCTTTCAAATATAGCTCACATGGTGAATCCCTGAATGAAACTGGGTGTGTTGGTTTTAAGTTTCAACTGCAGCTTCGCAACAATGGCCGTAACTATAGTAACTGGTGGTGAGCTGCTTCTGCCTGTTTGCTTTGTAATCCCACACTTTCAAAAGAAGAACAGGGGGACGGGTCAATGGTTTTGGATGGCTTCCAGTGCTTTCAGTGAGAAAGATCATAACCCCTCAGAGTTATGGTTGATCCATCACTAAGGCACCAAGAAATCAGTCAAAGGGATTGGCATATTATGCAGAATAAAGAAAAAACATCTTTTGATATTCTGACAGAAACTGGGAAACGGTTTTCACAGTGAAATAATTACCACAACACTTCAAACAATAGCCGTATGGAGGATTCATTTAATTGGGAATATGTGCTCGTCTTTTAATAAAAAAATATTTAATATCCAACTGCTTCATAATAGTATGATCTCACAGCTTGTCGTATCAAATATCTGCAGCACAGAAAGGGTGGGGCACGTTGTTGCTCACTGCAGTGAAGCTTCATTAACAGAGGAATGTATCACAGATGCTGTATTATGAGAACTCGTATCAAAAACAAAGAGTAGCTTTAAAATGTTAATGCCCACTTTGTGTGTAACAGTGCAGAAAACAATGCAGAAACAGTGTGGAAATCCTCTGAATAGAGACGAGTGATGAACCACTGGGGCAATTATAGTCTCCGCTCACTCCGCAGCCAGATTTGACTCCTCTCCCTGCTGTTGGTGCTGGAGCTGCCTTCCACCTGACCACTGCACCAATTACATCTTCATAACAGAATCCCCTCCAGCTGAGTGGTCGGCAGATAGTCAAAGATCTCTCTCTCTCTCTACCCCCTTCACCTCTGCCAGGGCTCACATCACTGCCTCACCCAGCATCCCACAGAGAGACTGGGCAGCAGCCTACAGTTCCTCCCCTCGAGTGTTTACAAACACAAACCACAGGAATCCACCTGATGTGCCAAAAAAAAAAGAGAGAAGGGAGAGAGCGGCATGGGCTGTGCTCTCCGACTGCAGCAGCTGATCACAATCACGTTTGGAATGGGCTGCTTTCAAAACATAAATGTGTGTCACTCTTGTCATTTGCATTCTGGTTCGCCAAACATCTTTGTCACTTGTAAGGAAATGGCCTGAGACCACAGTGTAATGATGGATGCTGAACCACGTCGGGCTGTGGCGAGCTCATCTCTGTCACTCATCTTTGAATCATGTGCGCGTGGAGATCCAAGCAGTTCCATCAATTTAGCATGACCGAAACATTGAACCGTGTTAGCTCCCCTTGGCACTGGACAGACTCTCCCTTCTCTCTGCAGGCGCAGGAGTAAACAGGAGGCCTGCTTCACACACAGAGGCATTCTGGGCATACCGCAGGGCCTCCAGAGAGCTGGTCTGTTCACACACACACACACACACACACACACACACACACACACACACACACACACACACACACACACACACACACACACACACCATCTGGACGGTACACTGTTGGACACGTGTGGTTTACGAAGCTCTGTGTGCACTGTTGGAGTTCAGCCAGTGGGGGGGGGGAGGTATGGGCAGAGGGCTGTCCAGCCACCTCCAACCATCTGGAACAAGGTCATCAGGAGTCATCCTAACTGTGCTGGTAGTTATTTAGGTCGCCAACATTGTGTGTCCGGTACAGAAAAGAAAATGAATAGAGATGTATCAGGCAGGATAAGGCCTTACATAGAGAAACATGACATCTATACAATCAAAAATAATACTAATAGAATTAACACGTGAATCATGAAACACAACATGCCATCATTGTGTTTTAATTATTATGTCATATTGATGTTTTATTACTAGTGAAATAATGTATGCTTTTGGGCTTACATGCAGAGGGAGTCTTACTTACATTTTTCAGGGCTTTGCACTATAATAGCATAGGATTCTACAAACAATCCTGTGGATTTAAGGGAAATCCAAGGGATAGGCTACTACGGAAAGGGAAAAAAAAGAAAAAAAGTGTTTTAGGACGGGCCTCTGGTGACGTGCAGGGCCTGCAGGGCGGTGTTTCTCAGGCGGAGAAAGAGACTGACTGGGGTGTGTTAGCCACATCTGGAATAGTAGCTACAGATAAAGAAGTCGAGAGACGCAGAACCTCGCTGAGACTTTCCCCAACTCTTCACTTCAGCACTCCCTTTTCCACGGAAACAAGCTTCTTGCTCTGCCTAGCCACTTGTAAGTTGGAGTAATGTGCCGGAGTTCCTTTTGTTTTAACTTTTTTCATTGACTTTTTATTTTTTGCCATTTAACAAGACGTCACCCCTGGACTTTAAATCGACTTTGGATTTACTTACACAGCACGCAAATTCAATATAGCCTATGTCTCATATGTTGTGGCTTTAACCGACTAACTCTTTTGTTATTCACCATTTTAAAGTTAGACTTACACCTAACGTTCAGGCGCACGCATGGCGCCACTACGCTGGAATGTTTCTCCTGCAGATGGGTTGCGTTTGTTTTCCAGCAGCATGCATTGATTAGTCGTGGATCAACCCTTTCTCACTCATATCGACCTTTCTTCACACAGTTCCAAGGTGGAGGTCTTTAACTTAGTTTGCAAACGCGCAGTCCTTAACAAAATGACTTTTAATTAAATCATTTGGAACTCTAAAATGGATAAAAAAGTTCAACATCTTGTTATCAACTTGAGAATCGATTTAGCTGCATTACTTCAGCTTCACTTTAAACTCAGCATTGACTGTTTTATTGCCATCAGGAAGGAATTAAAGTTCTCCCTTCTGTTCTTTCTACGTTTGAGTGTAAGGTGATACTTTCACATTGAGGTAAACATTGCGGTTAGTGCAGAAGTGAGGGAACAGCGCCACCTGACGTCGAGATGAGTTTGATCTGCACGCCTTTTTTTGGAGGGATTGTTAACCCATGTGGATTGACTTATTTTATGTACTGTATCCCTCTAGATCTACTTGAATCATGCTGCTCATCCTGCTCGGAGTGCTTGTTATGCACCTCATCATTCTCATTCTTCTCATCGTGTCGACGGCAGCAAGTGTAAGTATTTCCTGTTTATCAAATCATTTTAAATTGTAAAAAAAAACAAACAGAATAGGCTCATGATGTGAGTAGGTTAGACAACTATTTCAATGTAATGATCATTTTTGGTCCCGTTTATAATAGTTCTAGGCTATGCTGTGGATGATGCAGTGTGTTTAAATGTCTCTGTGTTGTTGTGTTTACCAGACCTGGTCTGTAGGTGGGGATAGAACCACAGATCTGTGGTACACCTGCACAAACTCTAATGGAGGCTACCACTGCAAGCCAGCCATCAGTGAAGGTTTGTCAGCTTTCTGGAAAAAACAAACTACATTTTGTGTTGTGCCTTCATTGGAGAATTGAATGTGTTTCTAAACCCATGCTCTTCATCTGTTTCCAGACTGGCTCCAAGCAGTGCAAGCCCTCATGATCCTGTCCCTGCTATTCTGCTTCTTCTCCCTCATTGCGTTCCTGTTTCAGCTGTTCAAATTGGTCAAGGGCGGACGCTTCTTCTTCACCGCCATCTTCCAGATCTTGGCAAGTGAGTATGACTTCATCACTGACGGGTCACACCCTGAGCAGATGCTGGTGGAGTCATGAGATCATCAGCTTTCAGATCCTCCTCACCTCTTTCTTCATTTGTCCTAGGTGTGTTCGTGATGTGTGCGGCGATCATCTACACCGTGATGAGCCCAGATGATGGATCCGTAAAATTCGGCTACGCCTATGTGCTGGCCTGGGTGTCTTTCCCTCTCACTCTCATCAGCGGTCTCATTTATATCGTCCTGAGGAAGAAAGAATGAGGAGAGCAGAGGAGAAAGGAGGAGGGGTTGTTAGGATACCCCTTACAAGAAACATCGCACTGTGCCTACTGCCCACAGACCATAGACTGACATCCAACCATTACAACAAAAGTGGATGTGTCACTAATCATTTCAAACAAAAAATCTAGACAACACGGCTGGGGATCTATTTTTTGCTGTATTTCAGTATCCACTACATTCCCTTCACATTGAAAAGTATCACATCTGTTTTCATCGTGAATCTTACCACAAGCTGAGCGTCACTACAAGTGTTTCCCGCGGTGACAGATTATCTTTAAAACGTGTTTGTAAATGTGTTGGAGACATATTGACTTGTGTTGCATCCTGGCACCTGACTTCCACAAATCCATCATGTGTGATAACAAAGATGAGTAATCCTGCCTTCAGTACAAATATGTACATAGTGTCTGTGGTTTTTAGACATATTTATAACATTTTTACATACATTTTGTACATAGTGTTGTCAAGTTAACATTGTCATGCTCATTTATGTGATAGAGTTTATTTGTCTCTCACAAATCATGCAGCTGTGCCAAAGAGATGTCGCTTAAACCGCCAGAGTATCAAGCTTTTAAAATGTTTTGTCTTTGAGTGTCAAATGCTTTGAACCACGTGCCTTACTTAGAATATCTGTTCTTGAAGGAAATGAGAAACTCCTCATAAATAAATAAAAATAACACTAAGAAGTAAACTTATGAAGTTTTTATGAATTATCATTTTACTTGATATACCAAATATAAAAATGTTTTGGATTTTTGTTATGTAGTTTTAAAAAATGGTGCTTTTGTATCTACTATTCTTGAAATGTATAGCCTACCTTGTGTTGCAAGTGTGTCCTGTGCTGTGATTAATTTGCTTTGTACAAACAAACAGTTTGCATTTTTGTCAGTATTCTTCTTAATAAACCCTTTTGAAATTAATGATTTGTACTGTTCATATATATGGAGTTTGCAAAAGTTTGATAAATTAGCTGTGTGAATACTTTTGGGGCTCACAAAACGCAATCACATTTTACCCTGATATGTCTTGTTAATTGACTGTTTGTTTGAATACTATCTGATTAAATAACTGTATGTGGGTAATGGCAAATTACAAAAGTGTTTAAGACTGACGTTCAGTCACACAGCTCCTTGCAGTAGCTTCATTTTAACACTTGGTGGAGCTTTGACACACAAAACACTCCCAGGACATTCACCCCAGGGGAACTCGGATGCTGGTGAATATCACCACATAGACACACAGTGCATTTATATATTATAAATATATTGAGTTGAAATAGACAATCAATTCTTAGAGAGGGACATCAATGCTTTTGCAAAGTTAAAAACTTGTTTGTTGAACACAGTTGCTCGTAATAAAAATGATTGCTCAGTAAAACTGCTGATCAAATAGCTTTTTTATGTTCAGACTATAAACAGACAAACTTTGAAAATACAAATAGCACCATCTGGCTGCAGTTTGAGGACATGGTTAACACTTGCTGGAAACTTGGCACATTATTTCAGCAAAACAACATAAATCAAAGAACACAGTTAAATGTTACTCAAGAAAAATGCCGCAACAGCATCTTTGTGAGGAAAAGTTGTTAAACATCAGACCTTTTTTAGACCATTGGCTGCTACCCCGTAAAGCTTCTCATAAAAAACACAGATCTGCTTTCATGCCTGACAAATTTCCCTGACAGATTATCCCCTCTCTTTCACATTTATAAAATGTTTAACCACCAATACAAAATCTATTACTCAGGTTATACCTACACTGCAGACACAACACAGGCTTCTTCTGTTCTGTATCGCCAGCACAATAATTCCCTATTAGCAAAACTATCTGTATTACATGTTGTTCTAAAATAATTTTCAGACAGTTTCAGGGATCAACATTAAATGTCATAGTAGGATTAATTAATGTGTACTAGTAAAGTGTTATATATTTTACTAAATAAAAAGTAATGGCAGAGTGTAACTGCATTGCATAATTACTAATGCTGCAGCTGAACTTTTGAACTTCTTTATAAGATATTATTATATATTATGAGTTGCTATTTGATGTGTATTTATCATCGGGAACAAGGCAAAGGAAATAATTATTAAATAAAGCTGTAAAATTAATGCAGAAAATATTTCCCTTTATATAGTTGTGGAGTTGAAGTATAAAGAGACATACACTTTCACAATTAAACAGTCCAGTACTTGAGTAAATATCCTTGGTTATATTCAAATGTTCTTCTTTTGTTCTACGGGTACAGGGAATAATCCGTATCCAACAAATTAGTGTTGACACTCATCGCAAATATGACAAGCACTTTGCTTATAATTCCACTAGGTGGTGACTGCAACACACTTTTCTTGTAATTCATTTTCACAAAAGATGTTTTTTAAAGTTTTTTATGATTTTGAAAGGAATAATTAAAACTCTGTTGAAGTCATATAGCATTATATATATATATATATATATACTGTATATATATATCTGTTCTCACTAAAGAAGATACATTTACAGCTCTGTTTGTGGAACAATACTGGAGTAACATGACACTAATCTTCTCTCATGCTCCCTCTCAGAAGTTGTCACCGCAGTGGATTATTGAAACAGGATTCTGCTCTTTGATCAAAACCAGTTTATATATGTCTTACTTAACATCAGAAGTAAAGTTTATGGGTGCCAGCTCTCAAATGTACAAAAATAGTGTTGTTTGCTTGGGGATAATATATATTTTTTTAATTAGTTGGAAAACAGGTGATTACATGTATTTATATTAGATATCATACCGAAAGAAATTAATTTACTTACGTAACCACACGATAATCGGATGATGAACTTTTAAATGTGTTGTACTGAAATGTAGATGTTCCTAAAGTTTCATGTAAGATTCATGTTACTGCTATATGACAAGAATCCAAACATCTCAGACTCCAGTGATGTTCACAGAAAACACCAGCAGCCATGGAAGACAAACACCAACCTTTTCTTCAGACCCCAAGGTGCAATTACCATTAGTTTGAATACTACCCAAAGCCATCTGTGCACACACATATATGAACGCCTGCTGTGTGATTTTCAGGCAAGCAAAATTCCCTAGGAACACATACACACCTACAAACATGTGTTAAATCCTAATGTATAAATTATATACCTTTATTATGCCCGTTGAACATGCCGAAGGTGGATTGCATTCACATTCACAGGTTTGTTGGTTCATCAGTTGTGACACAAAAGAGAGGCCAGTTAATGCTGCTCTGGTTTAAGTCCCTGGGCATACTGATAACATATTGAAGATGTCAAGAAAACTCCTGAGGCCTCACAGCTCTTTTTCAACCCTAAGGGTTATTTATCACTGGGAGGGTCATCAGGGGGCACTTAGTATTTACTGCAGGACATGCAGGAAGGGGGAGAGGGGATTCAGAGGAAGCCACCCTCATCACCACTGGGCCCTTACCTTCGTAGCTGTTTAGATACATCAACACTGTTTAACTACCTGATACAGACCAGGATATTTCACTGACATGTCTGACTCTCTCAAGTGTTAAACTGTTGCAGAAAAACAGCCGAGGACATTTACACGTTTGCAGCCGAGTGTTTTCTTGGTATCCCAGGAACGCATCAGGATCATTTCCATAAGTCCACGGTTGGAAATGTCTCTGGTGGGGCAGTAATGGTCGTGAAGCAGCACATACAATAGGACTGCAGCCAGCTGATGGGTCCCTGAATGGGACATGTGAGTACTTCAGAGGAAGCTGTAGCCCTCCTCTCTTCTTTCTCTTTAGATTTGTTGCCTTTTTCTTCCAGGCTGTCTGTCTCCAAGAACAAACCCCGGAGCCTTCAGATGTAGCTAAATGATAGAGAAAATGGGCAAGCCCAGTTTATTCAAAGCTGATTTCATCACGCCCATAAATCTCTGAGAAATCAAAGCCCATCTTATTCCCGCCCCTCTCCTCTCCCATTGTCTTGCTAATACCCATTAGAGTGCGGCTGGCTGCCCACTTTGACAGGATCTGGGCAAAGTTGCACATTTGGAACCTGGAGGCACCTTTGACCCATGACCCCTGGCGTTAAATCTTGCCACTAGCATCCGCCTAAGTCCCCCGCCATGTAGAGGAATCCCCCTGTCCCATTTCCTGCCTGAAACTGCCTAAAACTCACAGGGAGACTTGAAGATATAGGAGGAAGATGACAAGAGCGTGAGAAACAAGAATTCTGTTTTTTCTTCGTTTGACTTAAACACGTGCACATCACTTCACATATGCCTACGCAAAGAGAAAACAACATCTTCACTGCTATTCATTTGCACATTCAGGCAATATCCATAAAAATAGCATGGAGGGATTTGGGAAGCAGCGCTAACTTGTTGTACATCTCACACACATACTTCAGACACACTGAAAAGCTGTGTAGCCACTAACCAGCAACAAAGACCTTCTAATCTAACACTGGTGGCAAACAAGGGTTACTATACTGGTGTGACGAGGCTACTGAGGCATACATTTCTCCTTTAATTATACAACATTGAGTTGGAGAGTGTCTTGCCCCTCTCTGGTGTTTCAGGCCTGAGCAGGGCTCCTCCAAATTAGAGAGCAGTGTGACAGTGCTGAGATGCATCACGATGGGGAAACATGGAGCAGCGCGGTTGCACGGCTGCTGATCCATTTATGGGCTTCAAATACATTTCCCACATTTAAGCTGGAGATGAAAATATGCAGATAATTTGAGAGAGCTTGTGAGAGCTTGCACATCCAGGCACGTGAGGATGATTACACACAGAGTGGCACAAAATTGGTTTGAAAACATGATACAGTTGAGAGCAAAAGGGATTATCTTCTCTTAACGCATAACTGAAAAGGTGATCACCCCGAAATGAAAATATTAAATGTATTTGATCGTTTTGTCTATGAAAGTGTTTCTTCGCTAAGACATCATTCTCTTATTTAGTGCCAGGAAACTGCTTTTGGAGTCAGAGGCTGACGGTACTGAAAAACTCCCTTTGTATAGGACTCAAAGGAATTAGTTTCTAAAACTTCTGCACATGAATAATTCCTTGCTAATTCCGCCATCTTGTGAACATTTGTGTTAACTTTCTTGTAGTTATTTTTATAATCTATAATGTTTCTTTACCACGTTGTTGGATTTCCTAGTAACAGAGCACCACTGAAATAGATATACACTTATACATACATACATGCATATAAAAAGGCATTCATCTGTCAGTGGGCTAAATAAGCCTGAGAGGCGGATGTGATATCTGCTGGCAGATCAAATGAAGGATGGCGGTCGTGGCCTAATTGAGGGGTCAAACTGAAGTAGCTGTGTTATTTCAACCTCACTGACCCTGGTCGGTGGCCCCAGTCTCCCTGGTGGATTTTAGAGTGGATGGGGATTCGAGACCAGCCGAGCAGTAGGTGCTTGTGCTGGGTGTCTTTGTTTGTCTTCCCAGCCTCAATACCCTTCTCTGGTGACTGATGATCAGAGTCCTGGTGGCTGCTGGAGTCTGGAAGGAGGGAAGCTAGAGTTACACCTTTAGCAAACACTCTGCTGCTGAAAAAAAGATGGATAAGATTGTTGCTTACACCAGCTAAAAAAGTTCACGTACACAAACCCACACACAAACACACACAGGTAGATCGAGAAGTTGCCAGTTCCCAGACTCTATCTGCTCAAACAGATTGCCAGACTCTTTGCCAGGATACTTTTCTTATCTTTCTGCTTCGTCAGCAGAAAAATCCCATGGATCGCCTGCATCCTCTGATTGGATGTAATGGCCTATTTCCTCCTTCTTCCTCTCCAGCTCAGGATCACTACAAGCCAGGTTACGTTTACGGCAATTTATCCTCATTAGTCCTCAATTGAGAAATGGTTGTGCCCAATATACTTTGCTGCAAGAGAGACCTACAGCTTTTTGTAAAAAGTCTGTTTCTGTGGTGCAACT